CTGAATCAGTGTAATACATAAAGTACAGTACTTGTAAAAAAAACACAGACACACACATGGAATGCTGCCAAGCAGAGAATTTTAAGACAGTTTGCTAAGCCACAGGGTGCCAGGTTCTTACATGTTCCATGCTGCCGCTGCTTGTGAGAAGTGATCTGTTGCTCCTAAGGAATTGCCCACAAAGCTGATTATGCACCACTTCAATAAAGGATCTTTTTCAGCAGCCTTGGCTCCGGGTTTTAGAGGTTTGTTATTCAAGTTGTGCAATCTGTTTAAATATATTTTTTATAAATAAAAAAAGCGTATATTTTTAAGTTCAACTCGTAGCGTTTTTTTCCAGTCTCGTGTCAACCAGTAAAAGTGAAGTTGGCATCGTTCTGAGTGTTCAGACAACCATTAAAACGGTGATGTCTGACTTTGTGCACAGTTTTTAATTTTAACCTGCTGGCTTTCATTTAATAGTTCTGTGCATGTTGAAAGAAAGCGGAGCGTGGCACTTCTCATACTCGTGAAAATGTTTGTCTGTGGAATAAGTTCTGTTGCTCTTAGTATGTGGACTGATTGTAATGAGCAATACAACTTAGGCAACACGATGGTGATGACGATAATACTAATACTTGTATTTCATTTACTGCCTTACCACATCATAGAGGGCTTCACAGCATTTTCTGTGACCTGTAGTGACTGTGTTTTGTAGGCAAATGAGGCAGTCAGTTGTGCACAGCAATGTCCCACACACAGGCATGAAGTGAATAAACCGATATGTCAGCCAGGGCACCAGGAAAAATTCCCAACATTCTTCAGTGAACCATTCAACAACCAACTCCAGTAGATTGGTTACCCACACACCCATCTGTTATACCAGCTCCAATTCTGCACTGTAACCTCCCGGTAGCATGGCTTTGCTTTTGGAAACAGTGCTTTGTTTTTTCTCTGTTGGATCAGTGCATTTGGGTATTTTATTGTTTTCTCCCCCTATTTTGTAATTTTAAAAAAGAATCATTGATATTTTAGCTGCTGAAATCTGTTTACATGTGTAAGTACTTTTCTTCTGTGTTCCTTTGTTTATTCATTTGAGGTGGCAGCAGAGGTTGGGAGTAGGTAGAACAATACCGTTCTCTTCTAGGGACTTTTCCACTTCATTATTGGGTATGGGATCCTGATGATGAAATCACCTTTATGCGCTCTTTACCGTCTGGTTGTGTACTTCATTTGTGCTCTTGAGTCCCAGCTGAGTATCAGTGCATTGATAAAGGCAGCGTTCATTAGGAGCAGACCTGAAAGTGGAATGACTGAAGAAATTAAACATATTCCTTTTCCTCAATTATTTAGAAATAAATTGTCCAAGAATTATGCAGCAAAAAGTGCACAGTGTTCTTTGTACAGTCACAATACAGCTTTGTCCATTGCACTGGAACCACATAATGCCGTTTTTGCCCACAGTCAATTGATTTTAGTGTATATTCTGTGAAGTGCATTGAGACGTCTCGAAGACATGATGAGACGCTATATCAAATGAAAGGATCATTATTATTATTATTATGTACATGCTTCCCTGACTTGAGACCCCCCCCCGTTACTCTGCATTTGACCAAAGGATGAGCTTGGTTTGTGCCCTTGGTGGGAATCTCCACCTAGTGGCTTAACATAGAAAGCGAAGCAGTTAAAATCAAATGGCTGGATTGCTGTTACTTCTGTTGTTTCCAATTATTTTTGCTTAGATATTTAAGGATATAGTGACTTGAATGAGTTGTGTTTGTGTTTCATATACGTGTATATATTCAGTTACATATTATTTTAGAACTTTGTTTTATTACAAAGCTTTCCAAGGTGTTGAGCCCAGCCAGTACCTGTTGATTTGTATTGTAAAATCATTCAACTTTAGATTTGGCGATTTTTCCTGTAGAAATTCGTGCAACATAAAACTGCAAAGTCTGGGCAGGGCTGTTGAGCATTTTCCTTAAAGAGTTAATTATTAGCATTTTACAATCGGCTAATGTTGAAGGCTAATGTTGTACAGTCCATGAATGCAAACCTAATGTAATATTAAGAAATCAGGAAGAGTTTGTATTTTATATCAAAACATTTTGAGAGTGCCTCACACAGTCAAAGTAGGCATGGTAAAGCTGCTATAAAAATACAAGTTATTTTGTTCCTACGATTAAAGGTAGTGACTTATTTTGTAGGCAAATGCGGCAGCCATTTCTTCCAGCAAGGTCCCACAAACAGGAATGAAGTGAATGACCAATTAATCTGGAGCACTGCTGGCCAAGGTACTGGGAGAAATGAACAGTGTCATTTGATCTTTAATTTCTAACCAAACTTAATTGCTGATAAGATTATTACATGATTTGGTTTTATTATGTTTTTTAAAAAAAGGTGTGAATTATTTCGTAATGAAGTTGTATTGGGTGAAGTTAATACGGACAATCTGAAGGCCACTCTCATCAGTAATGTCTATTCTTTTGGATTTTATTAATTATTTATATGAATTTTTGACAGCAAGGAAAAGACTTGGGTAGACTACAGTAAGTAAATTATTAAAAGAATTGCCTTAGTTACTGGAACCTGTCCAGTGTTAAGTGGTAACTAAATATGTATATACAGTATTCATCACAGCAAATTACTGTACACAGTGAAAATGACCACCTCAATTTGGACCAAGTTTTAGTAATGGATGTATAGCCTGCCTGACTGGTGATCCAGGTGGGGAGCACGACTCGGGGGAGAGAGTAATACTGCTTCAAGGCTGCAGAAACCTCCCGGACAGAGTACTTTTATGCTAAACTAACTGATGTGAATCCATGAAAGTGCAAACTAGCAGACGGGTATTCTAAGGTCCAGATTCGGGAAATGCTACCACTCAAAATGTTTGCATTTAAATTCATTTTTGGCTTAGAGGTGACGTGAACTACAACCAAAGGAAGGCTAATGAACAGAGGGAAAAGTTGCGGGGAAGGGGAGTGTGGAGATTTGAAAAGTATTGGGAAAAAGAATCATGAAAGAAAGGGGACTAGACCATAATCACACAGTTATCACAAATATTTTAAACAATTTCAGTAATTTGAAAACTGGTACTGATAGTTTGCTGTACAGGCCAATTCTAGATCAGTGAGTGAAAAGTAATTTATGAGGCATGGAACTACTGGATCTAAACAGTGGAGTTCATTGGACCCTACATTCTAATGAACCTATTGCAGCTTTTTATATCTGGGAGTGGGAGTGGGCTTAGAATTTTCTGTAATCGAATGATGGACTGGTGTATCGGACGTCAAAACTAGCCATAGTTCTTGGCAGTATTCACACTTAGCCCTGTGCATGTTTTCAGGGGAGTGTCGTATTTAACAAGCACTTTTAGGATGCATTTTCAAGCCAATTATAACATTACCCGGCTAATAAACCAAAGATGAAATTTATATTAATCTTTGAATGTGGCAGCAATAGTATTTTCTTTTATTGCAGAACAGGTTCAGAGTGATTTGCTCACGTACATGTGAATGAGGCCTGTACCTGCCATGTTCACTTGATCACATTAGTCAATGATCACAACTATCAATTATAATTTGACATGGATTGATTCTGCTCTGCAAGTTGTCACAGATCTACCATTACGCCTACAAACCCATTCTGATTAAATGGGGGAAAAAAAGTGTGTGCAGTACTGCTGACTTCTTACAAGTCTTCAAAAGATGCTTCTTTATAGTGTTTCATTGCCATTGCGAGTTTCGATGTGTGCACGGCGTAATGCCTAAAGGGTTAAACATGCCTGCTCATCAAAATCAATAACTTCCTTTGCACAGGAAATCAAATCGTTATGTGGATCAGTTCCATCTGAATCGACTTGCTCCTCTATATTTCACCAAGCAGCTGCAGGACTCCAGGGAAACTAGAGCATGAATTAAGCACGAGTTACGTACAGATACAAGCACCAATACTAGTACGTTGTGCTGTGTGGAAGCGGGTATTATAACTGCAGAATGTACTGTGTCGTGGGCTCCGAAGGGAGCCTTTACAAACCGATGTTACTTTGTGATTTAATTGGGGAAATAAAATGCAGATTAAATTCAAATAAGTACCTGTTTTTTTTCTCTCTTCAGGAAGATGAGGGGATTTCATTTGGTTTTGTTAGGAGGTGAATCCGTGTGCAGTTTTCACAGTGTAAAGCTGTGCTGCCTGGATCTGCATTTAATTCTAATTCAATCTCAATTAGTTGCATCCATGTAATTGGGGCTAATGGCAGCACACCACAATCCCCTGCCAATATACTGCATTTCATAATCTAATGACAGCAGAGATCTGACAAAACAAGCCGAAGCGTATGTTTTGAGAAATATTTGCTGTCACTTGTACTGTTCTGTATGTGCAACGTCCCTTTTTTCTCCTCCTTAAATCTTTGATACTGTTGTCATGCTTGCCGACAAAGGTTCAGCACTGTTCTAATTAGCCTCAAGGAACTGTTTGGAGTCTGGGATTTTTTTTGGAAGAATTCCACGCATTAAATTGACCCTTCTGCATGTCCCCCTATTATTCATAAGTTGATCTCTGGTAACACTGTGCATGCTCTGCTGGATGCTGGTAGCAGAACATCAGTAGCTGGCAGAGATGTAGCCTAAATTTGGGACATTTATCTTATTATGCTCTGCAGTCAGCCAAACTAGGTAGCTAATAAAATCACAATCAAAGCAGGCGCTCTGGAATTTGAAAGACCTTCTGATATCCTGGCAACACATCTAGATGGCAATTTGCAGCTAGTAGGAGGTTAGGGTAGAAAACTGCCTTGAAGCTAAAGGGTGCACCAAATCTTCTTTTTTTTCTAACTGGAGGAGGGTAAAGGGGAAAGCCTTGAACAGTTCTCAGTGGCCCTAATCAACATAACAGCCTCAGCTGCCCCTTGGATCCCCTGCCAGGTCCCTATCATCTTCTGATCAAATATTAATGTGTGATACTCTGCTTGCTCGCTAATCCAAAGCCAATTAATATTATCTGTCAATTATTTACAGATCCTGAGGTGCGGAGGCAATTCCCCGAGGACTACAACGACCAGGTTTGGAATGCGTAATTAACTTTTTTTTAACATGGCAAAATTTATTTCCGAGTCACTCAAGATATCACTGCTGTTCGGTTTAATGAAGGAGACAAATGAATTTTTGGGGGAAGAGATGGGGGTGATAATTAAGAGCCACTGATGAAGATGATGATGATGGTGACAGTGACAATTTGGGAAGATCTTCAGGAGGAGACAAAATGTAGTTAACCAGCGTGATAATCTTTCCAAGCCAATTCTGTGAAATAAAGCATACACCAGCAGAAATGAACAACAGAGAAAGATGATATTATATATGTGTGTATTTATTTTTATATATATATATCTGTGTCTGACTATTGTCTGGCTAAAACTATTCAAATGACCCATTAGATATTGAAGTAAAAGTACATCAGTAACCTGATGAGAATCGTTCCAGTGAGATACTTATGTAGACCTAATATTATGAAGACTTAATATGACTTAATATGTGTTTATGTAAATCAGTTGCTTTCATACGTTTTGTTCAACCAGTTCTCTGGATGCAAATTGTTCGGAAAAGACCCTCTGTTTAATTTGCAGGTTATCATTTTGTGTTAGCTGCCAGTGTCATTGAAATCTAAAAGAAAACTTAAGATTTGTATTTATTTTCCTCTTTCTCCTGGAGGACTCCCCACATCAGTGAGAGTGGGAAGCTCTCGTTATTATGGTGACCGCTATGAGGTGCATGAAAGTGGCTTGGTTAACCTTGCTCTCTGACCACTTTTACCTTTTTGGGGAGAAACTAAGCTCTGCTTAGCACCACCCTCTGATAAAGTGGGGGAGTAGTGGAGCTCACTGTGGAGGCCAATCGTAATGTACATTAAATGTTTCACATTTTTCAAAATACGTTATTTGTAAGTATAAATACACATTCAGAAGTTGCTATTCACCCCAATTTCCCCAATTTGTTTCCCCTCCCCAAGGAGCTAAATCATGATGGCGTAGGTTGTGCAGTTTCTGAAAGCTATGTTTTACCTCAATCAAGTGTCCATTTCCTACTGTGCGAGCTTAGTTACAGTTGGCAATTGATTTGCTCATGGAGCAATGCGCACAGTATTGGTAAGGGTCACTGTGGATTGCGGTTCACAGATGGATACCCAATTTTTCCCATATGTAGACCATTCATAATTATGACTTTTATTGGGGTGAGATAACATGTGAAGAGTTTCCTCAGAGAAGGAAAGAGTGGGGTAAGTCTCTTCCCTCTCAATAGACAATTGTCGAGCTCCGTGGGCAAAGACCTGAGGGGAGGTTGCCTACCAGAGTTGACCAGAGGCATATCGTGACATAGCTAAAAGGATGGAAGAACGTTTAAAAATAGGAGGATTTAGATTCACAGACCGAGATGTCTTGACAGAAGACTCGTAGCCACTCTCTCACCCCTCCCACCCCCACCCATGGAAAATTGACACAGGTGAATAATTCATACTCTATTATTCATTCTGTACAAGTGGGAATTATGAACTGGGATGGAGGAGGAGTAGGAGGAAGGTGGCGAGAGGCACATTAAGCAGGAGCCAAGTGGATTATCCATCTTCCCCATTTGGGTAGATAATCAGCCGGCATATTTGAGGTATCGAGTAATTGTTACTGTGAACCAGGTTACAAGGCCCCTTGACTAGCAGTAATAAAAAATGCATCAATATCAGTAATGGGAGAAAAACAACCATAAGTAACTTAATACACAAACATTTATATGGATAATATGGCTGCACAGTTACAGAGTTGCAGTTTGAAAAATAACTCAAATAATCATTCTTGCATTTGACACCAGGAGGATGACCCGTAGCGTTTCACAAGTGGAGTGACTATTGTTTTAGGCATATTGTATTTATATTATTTGATAGTTTTTTTTTATTTACCACTAAAACTTCACAGTAGATATAAAAAATACATTGGAGAGATTTCAGGGTAGGGACATTGAATTCAGATGATTATCAAGTTTTCTTGGACTTTGTGTTCTGACGCCCTTGTAGTGAGTACTGTCCTGTAGGCAACGGCATGCATATGTAACACTGTTAGCAAAACTCTATAAAGGAATGAAAAATGCATTGGTATTTTCATCACCCTTTTGTTTACACAAAGGAATTATGTTTTACATATTTATGAATTAATTGCTCTACATACACCTTAGCAAAGATGTGCTGCACCTTTGCCTTGTTCTCCTTTGTATTAATGTTTGTTGTAACTTTGCATCTAATTGGAAAATAGTTGTCCCTCCTGTCAGTAAGAGAGTGCTTTACTGGTTTGCCTGATGGAAGTAAGCTATACATTGACACGTTGCGATGTAGTTGCCAAAAGGAAAGCGATAAATATGTTTAAGTCTTGTTTGAAAAGCTGGCTCTCAGCATACCTTTACTTTTACTTGCAGTGTCTCACACCCTGCATTCACATAAATGTGTACGCTTCTTTGTGGGTAAAATAAATTCTAGATGCAGTGTTGTTAATGCATGGATCAGAGGCCTGTGTTGGTGCTGCTGCCGCCACGACTGAAGTTTGATTCCTGAAGGTCTTTATACCACTGCAGGGGACTCTGTCACAAATTATTGTGGCTCGGTGCTTTAGAAACATAGAAAAAGCATGTTAGATCGGCATCTGTGACTGACTAATGATGGCCAGGCTTTTGGCTTCCCTTGAGCCACAAAGCTATTGCTGCCTTTAGAGAGGAAAAAGAATAAGAAGAAAGGGGAGGGATGAAAGGGAGTCACAAATCTGTGGCCTCGGAGATGTATGACTGCTAGGCTGGTTGTCTGCGTGGTATGATAATCCATTTTGATCTCCTCAGTCTTAATTGTCTGCTAAAGACAAATGGGCAGTAAAAGTTCATCAGTTTCATCTTTGCTTCTCATTTATGGGCAGAATAAATGAGCCATCACTACAGAAGAAACCTTTCTTTTTGACACGGAAGTAATGCAGACCTGATGTGTTATTAAAAGTCTTTCTCCCTCATTATTTCAGGCTCTCGATGCTGATAGATCTCCGTGTTTCATGAAAAGTGTAATCTGAAATGCAAATAAGCTGTTTGATACAAAGAGATGATGTAACAAATGAGCTCTCCACGTTGTAGAAACGTTGCTTATAATTATTTGCAGAATGAAATCTTTGCCCTGATTTTTTTTACTATATAAGATTTATAAAATATTTATATAATATTTATAAGATAGTGTGAAAGTTAATATATCAGAAATGCTGGGTTTTGATTCTAGAGGTATAATAACTGTTTGGGGAAAATGGTTTGCTTTTTAACTTGTATTTAACAGTTACTGTGTTAGAGAAATAGAATCAAGCTGGTGGGTGGGAGCTATCATATTTATTGTGAAACTTTGATTTGTCTAGGAACATTTGAAGAGAAATAATGAGATTCAAGCGTTTCTTTTGGAGAAAGTCCCAAGCTAGGCAGTGAGAATCCTATGGTTGGGAAGGAAGAGTTGATATTTTAGTAAGCTGGGGGACATGAAGCACAATGTCTAATTACAGTGGTACATCAGTGAAAATGCTCTGTGGCATTCTTTCTCGCCTGCGATTGTATACCTCCTCATTGACTGTTGGAAACACTGAACGGCAGGATAATTGTTTGTCCCACAAAGGCTGTTTAAACGTATATGGGCTCATCCAGTGTGTTCAATAGAACAAAGTCCCAATGCAAGTCAGCTCTACAACTGAATCACTAAGCAAATAAAGGTTCAAAGGTTAACCTCACCAAAGTACTTACTAAAATACAGGATTTGTTCTAAAAACATAATTAGAGTTTCACCAATGGCACAGTGGGTAACTGTGGGTAAATGCACCATGCAGTGTTGTATGGAGATTTATAGAACCGCAGACTCCCAGGTTTGGTTGTTGGTATGTGCTGAGTTAGCTGAATCAGCTGGAGCCATTAAGAGTTGGCATCAGTATCTTCAGGTGAGGGAGAATCAACTAATATGAGTAACATAAAGCAAGGCAGATGGGGGTCCCAGATACAACAAAAATACATTTGTATAGTGTCTTTCACGTCAGGAGGACGTCCCACGGCTCTGGGCGTTCAGAGTTTCGGGCCCGAGCTAGGGGTTGGAGTCGGGGAGGGCGGGGGGGAAGCAGGGTGATCGAAAGCACGGTCGAAGAGGAGGGTCTTGAGATGGATCTTGAAGGAGGCAAAGGGAGGGGGCGAGGTGGAGGGACTGCTGGATGGAGTTCTAGAGGGTGGAGGCAGAGTGGCTGAAGGCCCGCCCGTCAATAGTGGGGCGAACGAGGCGGGGGACATGAAGCAGGCTGGAGCCCGCTGAGCGGAGGGAGCTAGCAGGATGGTAAGGGGGTTAGGAGGTCACAGGTGGGGGCGAGCAAGACCATGGAGGGCTTTGAAGGGGAGGACCAGGATCTTGAACCGTATCCTCTGTGTGACGGGAAGCCAGTGGAGTCGGCCGAGGATGGGAGTGATAGGGTCACGGAGCCTGGTGCGGAAGAGGACACGGGCTGCAGAGTTCTGGATGATCTGTAGCCTGTGGAGGGAGGAGTTGGGGAGGTCGACAAGCAAGGAGATCGCATATTCAAGCCTTGATGTAATGAAGGCATGGATGAGGGTTTCGCGGCCTGAGGCAGTGTCAGAGCCGGGTGACGTTGCGGAGGTGGGGGAAGGCAGAGTGGGTCATGGCACAGATGTGGGGTAGAAAGGATAGTTGAGGGTCAAACAAGACCCCAAGGTTCTGGACTGGCTTAGCAACGTGGAGTGTGCAGCCATGGATGGTGTCAGATGAGGCGCTGACGGAGCCAATCAAGAGTCTCGGTCTTGTTGACGTTCAACTGTAGAAAGTTCGCTCTCATCCAGGACTTGATGTCTGACAGACATTCTGTCAGGACAGCAGTGGATCCTGGAGTCAAGGATGGAGGCAGAAAGGTAGAGTTGGGTGTCATCCGCGTACATGTGGAAGTTGACCCCATGTCTGCGGATGATGTCACCAAGAGGGAGCATATAGATGTTGAAGAGGAGGGGTCCAAGGACA